TAATACATTTGCACACGCACACACACACATATACATATATATATATATATATACACACATATATATACATATATATATATATATGTATATGTATATACAAGACTGCATTGGCGCTGCGCGCCATGTACCTTGGTCCTTTGAGTTCAGCGCGCAAGCGGAATGCGTGCGTGCGTACATGCGCGCATGCATGTATACACGCGCACGTGCATGCACGGTCCGTATAAATGTCTAGGTGTATACAATATACTTACATTGTTGCATGTGTGTATACAGCGTACATGTGTACATAACAATTTATGTGTGTAAGGGTATGAGCATGCATATGCAACTCGTACGGAGCATCCTCGGGCATCTTCATTGCATGCCACGAGACCCTCAACGACTGGGTCACAGTGTGAAATGTCATGGGAGCAAAATCAATGAATGTTAGCATTCGGAAACATCGTGGGGGGGTTTTCGGGGCCCGCGTGGGCCGTTTTGGCACCTTCATGGGCCGTCCTGGGGCCTTCTTGGGCCGTCTTGGGGAGCGTGGGCCCGCTGGAGCCCCCTTTGGACCCATCTTGGGCACTTGCGGGGACCTCCCATGGCGCTTTTGGGTCTGTGCTGGGAGCCCTTGGGGGGCCTCTTGGTTCCATTATGGGCTGTCTTGGGGCTCTCGTCGATCGTGGGGCCCGGCTCGGCCGTCTTGAAGCTTTCCTGGGGGGGCTTTTGGAGCGTCTTGAGGCGATCTCGGGAGCTTTGAAACCGTCTTGAAAGCTGATGACATCCGAGAGGCGAAAATGCTAAAATTGTAAGTTTTACGGGGGGAATGGGGCGATTTTTGTGGTTTGAAGGCCCCTTGGAAAGCTTTTTGGGTGCCTTGGGGGTCTTTTATGTTGGCATTCGGAAACATCGTGAGGGTGTTTTCGGGGCCCTCGTGGGCCGTTTTGGCGCCTTTATGGGCCGTCCTGGGTCCTTTTTGGGCCGTCTTGGGGAGCGTGGGCCCGCTGGAGCCCCCTTTGGACCCATCTTGGGCATTTCAGGGGACCTCCCGTGGACCTTTTGGGTCTGTGCTGGGAGCCCTTGGGCGCCTCTTGGTTCCATTATGGGCTGTCTTGGGGCTCTCGTGGGCGATCGTGGGGCCCGGCTCGGCCGTCTTGAAACTTTCCTTGGGAGCCTTTTGGGGCGTCTGGAGGCGATCTCGGGGGCTTTGAAACCGTCTTGAAAGCTGATGACATCGGAAAGGCGAAAATGCTAAAGTCGTAAGTTTTACGAATGGGACGATTCTTGTGCTTTGCAGGCCCCTTGGAAAGGTTTTTGGGGTGCCCTGGGGGTCTTGTGGGCCGTCCTGACGCAATTGGAGTCCCTCTTGGAGCGCTCTTGTGCTGTCTGGGGCCTCCCTTGAGCCTTTCTGATGACCCCTCGGATCGCTCTGGGTCTGCTGGCAAGGCGTTTGTGGAGACCCGGAAAGCCGGGTGACCTTTTCCAAGGACGTCCAAGGGAGCCCGAGAACCCCAGATCCCGGGGGTCCAGTTTAGGGGGGGGGGGATGGTTTCCCCCCCCCCCGGGCTTGTAAAAATATGAGAAGAGGAATCTGTATATATGTATATATGTATATATGTATATTATATGCTTATATATATATTATATACTATATATATATATATATATATATATATATATATATATATATCCGCCGCGCCCTTTGTGGGGCCACCAGGCTGTAGGCCGGAGGTTCACAGTTTCCTGTACCAATTGCAGCTTCCAGTTTCCACTGTTACAGTTCTGCTTCTTGCTTCTTACTTTTCCTTGTTGGCTTGCTGCTTGCTGTTCCTTGTTGCTGGACCGCGCGATGGGGGGAGGCCCAAAACGGGCATTTTTACCACGCCCAAATCGCATTGTCTGAATTGCTGGGGTGGGTAAAAATTGACACCTCTCACGCAGATCGGCGGGGTCAGGGGCCAACAAATACATGGGATTTGCCACATCTCTGAAATTCGGTGGCACCCCTCATGCAGATCAGCGGGGTCAGGGTCCAAAAACACATGGGATTTGCCACATTTCAGAAATTCGGCACCGCTCACGCAGATCGGCGGGGACAGGGTCAAAAAACACATGGATTTGCCACATTTTCTGAAATTCGGTGGCACCCCCCCACGCAGATCGGCGGAGTCACGGTCCATAAACACATGGGATTTGCCACATTTCTGAAATTCGGTAACACCCCTCACGCAGATCGGCGGGGTCAGGGTCACAAAACAAATGGATTTGCCATATTTCTGAAATTCGGCGGCACCCCTCACGCAGTTCGGCGGGGTCACGGTCCAAAAACATGTGGGATTTCTAACATTCGGTGACACCCCTGACGCAGATCGGCGGGGTCAGGGTCCAAAAACACAAGGGATTTGCAACATTTCTGAAATTCGGTGGCACCCCTCAGGCAGATCGGCGGGGTCACGGTCCAAAAACACAAAGGATTTGCAACTTTTCTGAAATTCGGCAGCACCCCTCACGCAGATTCGTAGGGTCAGGGTCCAAAACACACAAAGGATTTGCCACATTTCTAAAATTCGGCGGCACCCCTCACGCATATCGGCAGGGTCAGGGTCCAAAAACACAAGGGATTTGCAACATTTCTGAAATTCGGCGGCACCCCTCACGCAGTTCGGCGGGGTCAGGATGCAAAAACATAAGGGATTTGCAACTTTTCTGAAATTCGGCGGCACCCCTCACGCAGATCCGTAGGGTCAGGGCCGAAAAACAAACAGGTCCCGACACTGCTTCACGGCGAAGCTAGCCTCATGACTTCGCTCTTCCATGACCCATTCTCCGAGAGAGGGGGCCGGCAGCAGGGGCGAAGCCCTTACGGACACACACACACACATACTATATATATATATATATATATATATATATATATATATATAGATAGATAGATAGATACATGTATACACATCTGTACAATTAAAGATGTAGATGCCCCTATGTATATATATATATGTGTGTATATGCGTATATATAGAGAGAGAGGGAGAGAGAGAGAGAGAGAGACAACACATAGCCTGGTATGTATGTACAGCTGCCTTTCGATGTTGGGAAGTGTCATATACAAGCCTTTTCCGAAGTTTGAACGCTAGGTGTCACAGAGGAACCTCTTCTTGGCAAGGTCCCAGAGAAGGATACAGTGGAGGGGTGGGGGGGAGTTTGACTAGCCAAGGGCCATCTTAGAACGCGACAGGCGCACTCGCTAGAAGACGACGCATCGGCGCCAAGGGCGGCTCCAGAGGCGCCGCCAGGGGGTCCAGAGCGGACCCACGAAATTTGTGCGTACCTCAAAACGTTTCTATGTATGCCGATGGTTGCCCTTCGACTCGTACAAGGCTGAAACAACCTCCTTTCGGTTACACGGTAAGGGTGCACGTCCCTTGGACGTCCGATGCGCACTATCTGTTGCGGCGGCGGACCGACGTACAAATGGGGCCGAGCAGACAAGGATGGGGTGATAGCCTTGATGGGTACAAGGCCGAGCATACAATACCCTATACGACCACCCTTCTGGTGATAAGGAGTTTCGGTGGGGGAGGGACCAACGTTTCACTCGATCGATCTCACGATCGATTCACACACACACACACGATCCCACACAATCGGTACCATAATCGACCCTTCTATCGATATCACTATCGATCGCACAATCGATCACACGATCCCGGTCACTAGCGATCTCACAATCGATATCACTATCGATCCCACTACGGGAAACCGACTGGACCCCAACGGGACACCGACGGACCACCGACGGGCCGTCAACGACACCGAAAGGATACCGACGGGACACCACGGCGGGACACTCCCGGCCACGCCAGCCCACTGGAGGGGCGGTCTTTTGTCTTGCCCCGCCCTATCCGCGGCTGGGTCATTCCTCCCGCCCGCCCACGCAACTTCGCCTCGCCCGCACGCGCAACACGAGCACGAAACCGAAACCGACTTCCCGTTGGGGGGCTCTCCGTTCCACTGCGATCTCACCCCCTCACCTCCGACTGTGCCTTGGACTGCGGCGAGGAACCCTCGCTTGGCGTGCCGTGGCGGCAGCCCCCGCGACACGCTGTGCCCTGCAAGCTGATCTGGTGTTGCACGGGTCCCGTCCCAGAAAGCATTTTTCCTGTGCGCTTGACGTCGAGGTTCCAAACTTTGTTCCAGTCTTCCGGAGACTGAAGAAGCCTGTAACATTTAGGTCGGGCGTGTCCCCCTACAGGCGGATTTTCTGACGAAAAATCAAACATACTCAACAAAATGCTCAACAATAATCAAAAAATAGTCGAAAGATCGTCCCCAGACTATTTCTTTGACTATTTTTCAATATTCCTCCTGTAGAGGGACATGCCCGACTTAGTGTAACATTGATGCGTGGAGACTGGAACGTGCTTGGAGGGTCGCGACGAAGCGTGATGGCGACCCGACAACCCCTGACCCCTTGGTGAGCGTTTTATTCGCTTGGAGTGCGCCCCATGGGAGAGACTCCACCTGCTCGAAACAGGCGCCAATAAAACAGCCAAGATCTACTCCACTGGGGGGGGAGGGGACGGGGGTTGGGGGCCCGCGCCGATCGGCAAAATAACGAATGAGAGAACGATCACTTGCACCAACACCGTCCTCTGTCCCACAAGGTCGGTGACCCCTCGACTCGTCCTGGGGCGCGTCCTGACCAGACTTTCGAGGCGGATGTGGCCGTGCCAACGAGAACACCCCAGGATGCCCCGCAAAAGGGGCTAACGTAGGGGAACAAACAATGACATAAACATAAAAACTCGGAGGCCCGCGCGGATTTCTTGGATCGGCGCTGGGGCCCCCCTGGCGGCGCCTCTGGCGCCGTCCCTATCGCGCTCCGCGCGCCAAGGAGGGGTGCCCAACGCCGATCTAAGAAATCCGCACGGACCTAATGTTCTTACATTTACGTCATTGTCTGTTTCCCTCTAACGCCTCGTCGCTCGATCTGGAGTGCAGAAGGCGAGGACGGCGGCCTTGACGGCCTTCGTCGAGGCAGAAGTCAGGCCCACCTGGCGGGGCCGGCCGCAGCTCCAGCGGCGCGCGCGTGCGCCAGGCTGATCAGTGAGCGGTGCGCGCGTGTGCCAGGCTGATCAGTGATCAGTGATTGCGCATAGGGGTGCTTTCAAGGGGCATCCATCGACCTGGGCCAGACGTCAAAGTACAGCGACTGTTTACCCGTATCGCAATGACGTACGATACAGCTGCACGGGCCTTGGGAGGCCACGTCGACACTTTGCGAGCGGGGCGCGGCCAGCGAAAGCGGCCAAGGATGGACCGAGGAGGCAAGGATGCAAGGGTACCCTCGGGAAGGTTGCCCCTCCTAACCATGCGGGTTGACTGTAAGTATGCACAGCGCGCGCCTCCATCCATCGGCCTGGCCCAGACGCAACGGTACAGCTAGCGCTTGTCATGTCAACGTGGATTATGGTTCCTAGCGTCAAGCAGGCAACATGGAGCGATCTCTGCGAGCCGACAGCGAGGATCCTTCACAGTTGGCACGGTTCAGGCCGCCTGTGGCCTGCAACCATGAATGCCCCCCACGCCGTGGCGTCGCCGCCAAATCGACGTGGCGAGAACCTGCCATCATGGCTGTTGTCTTCTTGTGTCGTGTGGGCCCTGACCGTGCTCCTCCATGAAAAACCATGGCGTGACTACACCAGTGCTTGCGTCCTACGACAGAGGTCAAACATTATTTGTTGATTCCCTGTGCTGCTTGCGGTTTCTCATACGAGAAAGGGTCACGCGACCTCTGGAACAGGAAAGGGGGGGCCTCTCTTTTTCCATGGAAGGGGGTAGCGCTTCTGGCGGCCCAATATTAATACTTCTCACCCGCAAAAAACTTTCGTCGCACCCGAGCTCGACAAAAGCTCGCCGCCGATCCCAGAAAGCCCTGCCAGGCCAAGAATCGACCAGCCTATGCGAGCGGGCCTTCCGGGATGGGCCGGACGTTGCTCAAAGGGGAAGAGGGGGGGGCAATCAACGCAGAGGGGAGGGGGGGGGAACGTGCACCCTTCGTACCCTTCTGGGCCCCCCCAGGGGGCCCCTTTGGGGCCCCCTCTGGGCCACCAGCGGTGCACCTTTCCGAAATCCCCCTATGGATCATCGCCCCCCCTTTTAGTGAACGTTTTCTTACTCGGCGTTTCGACATTGGGCGGGAGGGGGGGGGAGGCTTGGCTCTGGGCCTCTGCTCAACGCGACTGTTTTTGCAACGCTGCGTCCCAGAGGTCCACCTGCTCGAGACACGCGTCAGAGACACCCAGGATCTACTCCATAGGGGGGCGTGGGGGGGAGGGGGCGCGAGGGCCCGCGCCGATCGGCAGCACAAGGAATTATCCCAGTGCGACCCTACCTTGGAGTTGGAGCATTTAGGAAAGCAACATCTACATCTACACCGACAGCTACATTTACATCTACACTTGCATCTACATCTACATCAACAGCGAGACTCACATCAACATCTACATCTACACATACATCTACACCTACATCTACATCTGCATCTACATCTACACCTACATCCACATCTACACCTACACCTACATCTACATCTACATCTACACTTTCGCATTGCTGTTGCTTTTGCTATTGCCTTTGCTTTTGCCTTTGCCTTTGCTTTTGCTGTTGATTTTGCTGTTGCTTTTGCTTTGCTTTTGTCTTTGCTTGATGTTGTTTTTGCTTTGCCTGCGCACAGACACTCACACACAGCATTCGCATGTTTGCCTAGCCTAAGCTAACCTAAGCCAAGCTAAGCTAAGTTAAGCTAAGCTAAGATTGTCTAAACTAAGCTAAGCTAATTTAAGCCAAGCCAAGCTAAGTTAAGCTAAGTTCAGCTAAGCTAAGCTAAGCTAAGCTAGGCTAGGCTAGGCTAGGCAAAGCTAAGCTAAGCTAAGATGAGATAAGATAAGCTAAGCTAAGCTAGGCTAAGCTAAGCTTAGCTACGCTTAGCTAAGCTGGGTGAACCCAGGGGGCGCAACTGGGGGAACCGCGGGGCGGATACTGGGGGAACCGCCCGGGCCGGTTCCCACTGCCCGGCCCTTTAAGCCAAGAGAGCAAGAACCCTTCTAGGCAGAGCCTAGGTAGGGAATGAGGAAACGATCGCTTACAGTCGGGCCGCTGAAAGAAGGAACGCCACATAAGGAACGACGCCCCATTTTGGCCGTAAAGGCGCCGCCGTGCCCGAGGAGGGCAGGAGGAACAGCGATGGAGGAGCCCAAGGAACATCGAGCCCCTTCCCAACTCGAACCGTTCCTTACTTCAACGTTTTGACTGTGCGCAGACGGATGTTTGGGCGCCGACCCTCTCCGAGAGCAGCGCGACGTCCGAGCGGGGCCGCGTGGCAGCGCGAGCGGGCGGGCGGCCGAGGGGCAGCGGGCGCCTCGCGCCCGACGCCGAAGACGGTGAGCGGCCGCAGGCCGGCGGACGGCACCCTCCCGCGGGGGTTTGTGGCGGCGGGGCTGCTCCCCCCAGGGCGGGGGCAGGAGGAGCGAATACACCCTGCGAAATGCTTAAGAAATCATGGGTTAAGAAATTCATAGTCTCAGAACTTGAACAAAAACCCAAGATTTCTATCAAGATCTTAAGATTTACATTGAAACGTTAAGAATAATCGAGACTCTGGCCGAAAACTTAAGTTTTCTTAAGCATCGCCTGAGGTGTAGGGGGCCCCATGCGAACCCTGCCCCTACCCTCCACGATTTCTGAGGGGGAGGGCGGGGTGCACTTCGCTCGGAAATCGTGGGGGGAGGGGCAGGGTTCGCATGTGGCCCCCCAGCAAGCTCGAGGGGCCCACGGAGGCACAAAGGAAGACAGCCAGCACGTGTCGCGAGGGACGGGCGGTGAGGGCGCAGGATCCCCTTGGAGGCCGAGGGCGGGGGATTTTCGAGGCGGCGGGCGGCCAGTGAAAGCGGCAGGGGACGGGCAGCAGAGGCAAGGACACAAGGGCACCCTGGACGAAGGCGCGCGTCCCTAAGAGGCGCGCTGGCTGTAGGCACATTTTCAAATATTCCGAATATGTTGCGCATTTTCTGGATCTTCGGCATCCCCATCGACTTTCCATACTGTCGAATATTTTCCATGGCGTGGGCGTTTGTCTGTGTCTGTGTATGTTTTCCCATCCGGACCAGCGCACAAGCGATGAGGCACTACGGGAGTCCGAGCTTCGAGGACCGAGGCTTTTTGCACTCCTGGGGACATTTTTTTGTCGCGACGGCTGGATCATCGCCTCCAGATGCTGCTCAGAACGCGCCCCTCGGAAAGGGTTTACGGGGTCGGCTGTTGACCCGCGGACCCAGGCCCCCCCCGCGCCGCCAACGGTATACGGCGGGACTTGTCGGTTGTTGCCGTGCTCTGCCTCTGGGGGGCCACCGCTGGGCCCCAGGGCCGTCGACAACGGCTCTGGACACGAGCTGGTCCAGGGGACTGGGTCGAGCCCTCTGGGGGCCGACGCCGTGACAACACTCACGACAACGACGAGGATCCGGGAGCCAAGACAGCCCGGCAAGCTTGGAGAGCTGGCGGGCCTGGAGGACGCGGCTTGCGCCGCGGCCGTTCCAGAGCGCCTTAGTTGAGCAGGGACCGACCGTCCCGGCATTCCTATAGCCCTACCACGAAACACGTCATCTCTGCGCGCGGCTCTGCGCAGAAGATGCGGGTCGGCGTCCCCGCGCCCGCGATGGGCCGAGAGACAACTGGCGCCGCCAAGCGGGGCCGACTGGAACGCTCCGAGGGCCCAGCTCGGCAGGGACGCCGCACCCGCGTCAACTGCGTCGCAGACGGTGCCCCGCACCCCACAGAAGCATGCCCGCCCCGCGGGCCAAGGAGCGCGGACACACACGACGAACATTGGCCTCCGACGAGCCGAGCCGTTCCGTCGGGGAAATCTACACCACGCGAACGCAGTGGTAACACCTGCCACTGCCCGCTAGCGAGCGCTCGCGCCGCCAGCACCGGCCGCCAACCAGCCGACCGAAGACGGAGGGAGAGGAGGAAACGAAGTGGCAGCCCCACGCCAAACTCCGCCAGCCGCGTGCGGCCATCGGCTGTGAGCACGGAGCAGACCCGCGATCGGCCGCGCCACGGGGGGCACTGCCAGGCAGTCATCACATTGCCACCAGGCCACAAGGCCGAGAGGTGAGCAGACCACGCGAGGTCCTCCTAGAGATTTTCCTGCCCAAACCGCTGCGCGATTTACTGGCGATGAAATCAGGGCCCCGTAAACCCGGACACGCTAAACCCGGACATCCAACATCCCTCAAAGCCAATTTTCCCAGACGGCAGCACGAACAAAATAAGGCACTGCAGCGCTTCCAGAATAAACATGGACACAGGCCCTTAAACCCTGTAGAAACCGCGCTAAACCCGGACACATACCCGAATCCTGCAGTGCAGCAAACAAAAAATGCACGGGTGCTGAAAAATGTGCATTTGCAGGAAAAGGTATCGTTTCCTTGGTTTCCCGTGTACTGGTTTATCTGTGTCCTGGTCTCTGGGGGCCTGATGAACATCTCAGCGTGCAGCTCTGGGCAGAATGCGCGGGTCGGCGTCCCCGCGCCCGCGTTGGGCCGAGAGATAGTCGGCGCCGCCAGGCAGGGCCCGACTGAACACTCCGAAGGCCAGCTGCATCCATGCCGTAGGAATGTAGGAGGCATAGGTCGCGAGATACAGGACACAATGGTACCCTTGATTTGGCAGGGTCGACCTACTAATCTGGGCCGACTGTACAGGCTGGCGGCCCAGAGCCAACAGGCGGACTGAGGGGGCAGGCGCGCCTAGGAATCGCTGTTTTACAAGCGCACCCACTGCATGCGAGCGTGCCTAGCCGCCCTGTCCCCGCTCGACTCAGACTGCTCTACCAACCATGTCGCCGCGGCCACTCCTCCACGGGACTGTGCCGTTGCATACGCGAAGGCAGCGAGCCCCATATATCCACCAGGCCAGAACAGAGTAGACACTCCGCCAGCCCAGAGAGCGTCACCAGCGAACCCACGGCGAGAAACATGAGTACCCCAGTGCTCCGATTCTGGGAAGCCAAGCGCCACGGCGCTGGCTTTGAGGCACGCCAGCGCCTCGGGATAAGCCACGTGGCCACATGGCATGGGCCCAGCGCCAAAAACCTCTGTCAAGCCGCGCGCCCCGCAGAGGAGCTCCCTTTCGTCAGCGCACGCGCATTTCCTCGCGACCTCCACTGGGGTGCGGTGACATTTCCTGCGAGTGAAAATAATGATGCGCTGACAACCCGCCGACCCTTTGTGGGCCTCTTGGCGTGTGATATTGTTCCCCCCCATAACCACCCCGAGACCCCAAACACGCAATTTCACCCCCCCGCCCCGGGCCCAGCACGACCCACCCCCGAACTCACCCGGGGTCTGGCCCGCCCCGGGCTCCCTTTGGAGCGCCAAGACAGCCCCTGAGACCTCCTCCGTAAAGGCCCCCCAGACGATCCGAGAGGGCGCCGACTCGCCGAAATATCGTTCCAAGCCGTCCAGCATGGCCTCCACTCGGCTCTGCTTCCAAGATGCCCCAGAAGGCCCTAGGGCCGTCAGAAACAAGAATCGTCCCATTCCTTTGCGGAATATATATATATATATATATATAGCATATTCGCCTCTGGGGCTGTTACTACGTCCTCGACGGCCCCACGAGGGTTCCAGGACGGCCCAAGATGGCCCCAAAAGGGCCAAAGACGGCCAAAGAAACCCACCAGCCGGCCGAAGAGGGCCCGAGGACGGCCCCCAGAGAGGGCCCAGAAGCGGAACCCGACGGGATATTTCGACTCGTCGGCCCCAAGACGCCAAGAACCACTCAAGAAACCCCAAAGGGCCCCCCCGGGAATCCCAAAAGATCCTCAAAAAGGCCCCTAAGACCGTCCCAGGAGGCCCCTCATAGGCCCCAAAACTAGCTCCAACACGACGCCAAAAACCACACGAGACCCAATAAGCCATCCGAATGGCCTCAAACCCACAACACCGGTCGCGGTCCAGGTGCCCGCACACTGCCTCCAGGTCCAAGAAGTACCCGTGCGTTCTGGGAGTGCCGGGGTCGTCCCGACCGGCCTCCGGAGGCCTAAGCTCACGCCCGCAAGCCAGACTTTTCCTCCTCCTCCTCCTCCTCCTTCTCCTCCTTCTCCTCCTTCTCCTCCTCCTCCTCCTCACCCTACTCCTCCTCGACTCTACATGCCCCTCCTCCTCCTCCTATCCTCCCCTGCGGCTCCGAGCATTCGCGCGCCGCCCAACGCTTCAGCAGGTCTCACGCGCACGACTTACAGCTCAGGGTGCCTATCTGGCGAGCACGTTCGAAATTCGGTCCAACGACGATCTGAGACTTCGGGAACTTCCTTTTGCAGGTGCCAGAGCACTCGTGCACTTGCCAACTACGCGCCGTGAGGTGTACGCAACACCCTCGGAGACTCTGCGCCCCAAGGAACCCCAGAAGCAAACTCGAAAGGAGGAAATGTAAGAACAAGCACAGAACAGGAGAAGAAAATGAGGAGGAAGAGAAGATGAAGATGAAGATGAAGATGAAAATGATGATGGTGGTGATGATGATGATGATGCTGATGCTGATGATGAGGATGACTATGAATATGAAGATGATGATGATGCTGCTGATGATGTTGATGGTGGTGGTGATGATGATGATGCTTGTGATGATGCTGAGGATGAGGAAATTGATGATGACGATGTTAATACTGATGCCGGTGATGATTGTGATGATGGTGATGATGATGACGATTACTGTGATGATGAATATGATGATTATGATGATGATGATAATGTTGATGTTGATGTTGATGATGATGATGATGATGATGATGATGATGATGATGATGACGATGATGATGATGATGATGATGCTGATGATGATGCTGTTGATGCTGTTGATGATGATGCTGCTGCTGATGATGGAACGCCCACTGAAGAAGGAAAGGAGGAAGGAACGACCACTGGTGCGGACCAGTGTGAGGGTCATCTCAGACCAGGTGGGTGACGCTGTAGCCTGTGCCTTGTCGCGTGTCTGGACACATGCAATGCGACACGAGTCCGCCAACCCCTTCTGGGTCTCCAGAGATGCAAGGTTCGTCCCCTGAACGGCCCCAGAAAAGCTCAGGGATGGTCCCGAAGAGCCCCGAACCCGCCAACAAAAAGCCAAGACGACACAATAATGCCCCATGACAGCAATAGAAACTCTCCGACTAGATCAAAAGGTCGGCGGATGTGGCGTAAACGTATAGAATATTTGCCATCCCCCGTGAACCAGAAAGGTGCTTTGCTCGAGCCCAATACCAACGTGCCAGATGAATACCGCAATCCTCCTCCCCCTCCTTCCCCTCCTCCTCTTCTCCTTCTTCTCCTCCTCCTGCTCCTTTTCTTCCTCCTGCTCCTCCTCCTCCTCCTCTTCCTCCTGTTCCTCCTCCTCCTCCTCCTCCTCCTCCTCCTCGACCTCCTCGACCTCCTCGCCCTCGTCGCCCTCCTCGGGCGCCTGTGGTCCTGCCAGTACAGCCGCGCGGTGCCCTCGTTGCACAGTTTGAGCACGCCGTAGAGCGTGCGCGGGCGGTGGGGGTGCTGCTCGGCGGGCAGCGCCGCTCCTGCGCCGGGTGCGCGAGGCAGGAGGGGGCCGAGGAAAGACGAGGAGGAGAAGGAGGAGGCAGGCGGAGGCAGGAGGACGAGGAGGACGAGGAGGACGAGGGGGAGGACGAGGATGAGGAGGAGATACGGAGGCTGCGTTCGATGAGCTCTACAGCCAGCAGGAACCAGGAACCAGGAGGAGGACGTGCAGGACGGGGAAAACGAGGGGGCAATCTGTTCCCAGCTCTCCGTCCGTTGCGTTCATGGTTTTCGCAAACCATCGCGGGCGCGTCTTCCCCATTATCCCGCCTCCCTCCTGCTCTCTCTCTCTCTCTCTCTCTCTCTCTCTCTCCTGCCCCCGTTCCTACCACCTGCGTGCCTCCTGCCTCCTGCTTGCCTCCAACCTCCTGCCCTCTCTCCCCGCCTGCTCACTTCCTCCTGTCTTCTCTCTCCCACATCGGCGTCGCTGGTTGGCTGCGAAGCGTGACACCGTCGCCGCGCTCGAGGGTTGCTGGAGAGGATAAGCGTTAGGAGGGTAGCGAGCGCAGACTCATATTGGACCTAACCATCTCTGGGGGCCTGCGAACTGCGACACTGCCGCCACTTTCGAGGACGGCTTGGGGGGGCCAGAATACAGTGGAGGCTCGTCCACAAGAAACCTTCCACGAGACACCCAACCCTGGAACCCCAGGACGCCCGTTGATTTTTGGCGTGGGGACGTCGCGCTTTCCATCGCAAAACCATCAAAGCCGAAGAAACCCAGGGCGCCCTGAAGGCAACCAGGGTGTTTCTTGTTTGGCATGGGTCCCCATTGTAGTGGGTACCGAGCGCAGACTCAGACCGAGTAGATAGGCGGCGCGCCCAGGGGGGAAATGAGAAGGGGCGGGCCTTATCAGAAGGCTCGGAAGTTTCCCGGCCTTCTGAGAAGTCTTCCAAGCCTTCCCCGAAAACACAAAAAGCCTCTCAGAAGGCGCGAGGGCTTCCGAGAAGTCCCGCGGCCTTCTGAGCAGGTCTTCTCCTTCTCATTTCCCCCCCTCGCTCGCCGCCAAGTAGACGACCTCCCCATCTCCGGGGGGCTGCGCCACACGAAACCGTCGCCGCGTTCCAGGGCTGCTGGGGGGGGGGGCGAGGGGGCAGCCTGCGCGGCTGCTGCCTGCGGGTCGCCTCTTCAGAGAGGGCTGCTGGGGGCGGCAGCCTAGTGGGAACTGAGCGCAGACTCGGATGAGACCTCGCCATCCCTGGGGGGCTGCGATCTGCGAAACTGTCGCCACTTTCGAGGGCTGCTCGGGGGTCCAGCGGAGTGAGGCACCACTCAGACCCAGATTAGACCTCGCCATCCCTGGGGTGGTGCGATCTGCGAAGCCGTCGCCACTCTCGATGGGGAACGGCACCCGTCGGCCCGCTCATGTTTCTTGGTCTTACGATGTTCGATGGTCGAGCGGGGCTGAGTGCGCGAAAGCGATCATGCGAACGAACTTACCATCAATCGCGTTTCCTTCATGGTGACGCCATACGACAAACGCATCCTGAAGGAAACGTGTTCTGGACTACACGGCCTTCCCCCAAGACCAGTTTCTCATCCCGGCGCGCTGGGCAGAAAAGCAGCGGTGGAAGAAGAACAACAACGCTACACATACACTTCCGAGGTCCGCGCGGATTCCTTGGGTCGGCGCCGCCATGGAGGTCCAGCGCAAATCCCAGAGATTCGCGCGGACCTCCGAACATTGCTCTTCTTCGAAAATGGGGAGCAACGGTAGTGGTGGCATGCTCAGGGGAGGAAGCATCGAGCTGGAATCGTTCGGTCCTGGGCGGCGTGGGCTATCGGGACCGTATCGGCGATCCCCGCCTCAAACTATCCCTATCCCCCCCAATGTTGCCCCTTCCGATCCCAGAGATCCGCACGGGCCTCCGAAAGCTTGCGTTTGTGCAGACTGTCTTCTTCGAAGAGGGAGACCCCGATGGGCTGAACATCGTTTGACCCACCGGCGTCCCGCCGGCTGGCTTTCCCACCCAGGTGCGGACTCATGCCTGTTCACTCGGGTTTTGCGGGGCCTGTGCCCACCCAGGAGGGTTGGCCTGTGGGGTTGAGATACCATGGCCCAGTGGGCATGAGGATAACAGGGACCGCGGCGCGCACAGGGGGGTGAGGGTGGGGGGGCATGCCTCCTCGAAGGAGGCTGCCTCTTAGAAGGTGCTGGCCTTGCGTCTGCAGGCAAGGCCCCCGCCTTCAAAGAAGCAGGGGTGCGTTTCAGAAACCTTCCCCCCTCCCCCTGCCCCCCTTCTGCGCGTGGCTGACACCTGCAGATGTACGCCCCCAACCATGCACATGAATACGCCCCCCCGTCTGCGAGGCCAGCCTTGCGTTACGAACGCTTGCACAACGCATACCGCACTCTCTCGAAGTTCACGGACATTGAACTTTGCGTACACGTCTGGTAAGGCGTAGCGCAAAAGCACCCCCCCGGGTAGTCCCGGTCGGGCACTAGCGGGGCTGGGTTAGTTTGACCTGATTCAGTGACAGATGCGTACTGGGGGACGCCTCCCCGCCAGGGGGTGGTCCCTCACCGCGGTCTCTATCCGTCCCAGGGTCGCGGGGCGTGGCAGGCGTGGCAGGGTTGACCGTACACGTGCGCGTGTCTGCTTCGCTCCTGACATGGGTCGGACGATCCCGAGGGGCCCCCTCCGCGCCTGCCGGCCCGTAGTCCGAGGACGGGCCCAACACGGCGGCCGACGAGGCGTACACGACGGGCACCGCGGGCGCGCCTGCCGGCGGCGGCGGCGCCGCCTCGTCTTTCCCCTCGCCGCCCAATCCTCCTCCTCCTCCTCCTCCTCCTCCTCCTCCTCCTCTTCTTTATCCTCCTCCTCTTCTTTATCCTCCTTCTCCTCCTCCTCTTGCTCCTCCTCCTCCTCCTCTTCTTTATCCTCCTCCTCCTCTTCTTTATCCTCCTCCTCCTCCTCGCCCTGGGGCAGGCACACGCACACGCTCTCGTGCAGCACCAGCCTGGCCTATATCTCTGCTACTCCTGGGGCGCGGCGCTGCTATGGGCGTAACGGGGCTCCGAGGAGCAGCGCGGAGACCTCCGCACCATGGCGGGCTTCGCCCGCAGGCATCGTGCACTGGCGAAGCGTCCTGGCTTGCCAATCGGCCCCTCAGATCTGCGGATCCTTGGCCGCGTCCTTCCCGGACATGCTCGCTCGCATCTAGGCAAACAAACATCACGACGGGAGGTTTTGCGACTTTTTCGTATATCCCCACACGTTTTCCAGCCTCACGTCGTGCCGAAATCACGGCAGGAGGTTTGTTTCGCGATTTTCTGCCTCTGGGGACCCTTGCCGGCCTACGGGGCCGTCCGAAAACTACCAAGTGCGACAGCCCGTTTCCAGGGAATCGTTCCAGACTGTCGGGGGAGGGGTCCACCTCATGGAAAAAACACCCGGCGTCGTTGTTTGCACGAAAGGCAGTGTTTGTTTTGTCTTGTTTTGCCCATCGGCGCGGGCCACCGCCCCCTCCCCCGTCGCCCTTCCGTAGACCAGATCTAGATTGCTTCTGGCGGCTGCTTTTCTATGGACTGATCGGGCCCCCCCTCCCCCCAGTCTGCTTGCGCGGCGAGTAAAGAAGCAGATCGACTAAGCACCAGCCCGCACCCAGACCCCCCAATCTCCCCCACCCTTCGGCAACTCTCAGCCCGACCACCAGACCACCAGACCACCTGACCAATGGAATCGCCAATCAAAGCGCAACCTTTCCGTAGGGGGGGGGAATAGCGTACCAATTGCTTGTTTGGTACGCGAGCGGAGTATGTCCAGTCTCGCGCGGAGTATATCCCGTCTCGGAGTCGAAACTGGGCATGCTGGTTTTGGGCCCCCACTTGCAGGGATCCCGCCTCAGGAGTGGGAACCATTGCGGACGCCATCGTCGCTCGGGATGACCCACTCCCTCTCGCCCCCCTCGGCGAGGACCGTCAATAGGCCTCGTCGGTGAGGACCGTCAATAAGCCTCACACCCCTTGCAACTTCCATCAATAGGGCTGTGGGGGTCCCGCTCCCGCCAGTCCACCTTCCATTTTGCCGTCAATAGGCACCGGATGGGGCCGAGGACCCCCCCCCTACGGTCCCTCGGCCAAAGAAGTAAAGCAGACGGCCGCAGGGGGGGTGACCCGCACCTCCACCTCAAGGCACACTTGTGCCACCACCGTCAATCAGAGGCGTCAATTGCCACCCACCACTCCTATCCTCCTCCTCCTCCTCCTCCTCCCCATCCTCCTCCTCCTCTCCTCCACCTCTACTTCTCCTCCTTTTCCTCGCCCTCCTCCTCCTCCTCCTCCTCGTCCTCCTCCTCTGCTCCTCCTCCTCCTCCTCCTCCTCCTCCTCCTCCTCCTACTCCTCCTCGTCCTCGTCCTCGTCCTCGTCCTCCTCTTCCTCTCCCGCCTCCTCGTCCGCCTCCTTCTCCTGCTCCTGCTTCTGCTCTTGCTCCTGTCTCCTCCTCCTCCTCCTCCTCCTCCTCCTCCTCCTCCTCCTCCATAGCTATTTTGGCTCATGTCTCCACGGCCCTCACCTTTGGGTTCCCACTCCAGAAGCTCGAGGCCGAGACGGAGGGGCAACCCCTTCCTTCAGGCCTCTCCCCTCGACCAGCTTTCAGCGATCCGTGGGCTTGCCACAGAAGGGCCCCGCCATAGTTCTCCTTGCCTGTGTGTGCTGCTGGTGCCTTCAGGGCTCGGCGCCGCGGCGGCAGCATGGGGACGTCAAGGAGCTACACGGTGTGCCCAAATCTCGCATGTTCCAGGTGGGCTTGGGAGGACAAAAAACATTCCCATTGTTGCAAATGCGGCGCAGCCTTCGTATCGCAGCACGCCCCCCCCGGCCAGGCCCAGGAGACACGCCCTTCAGACGGTCAGGACCGCAAAGGCCGCTGGCGCACGGCCTCTATGAAGCGCCGTTTCCAGCCGCAGCAGCCGGACAAGTTGCCCAGGGTTCAGCCGAGACACCATCACCCCAGAAACAACCCTCCCCCTCGGAAGAAGTTAACAGGTCGCAGCGGGCAACCCAGTTTTGGAAGGAGGGGGTGGAGGGACCCCAGTTCCTGGAGGCGCTGGAAAAGCGCAAGGCTGCCAGGGAAGCCATGCTGCGTGGCAAGCCCTTGGGCCAGCAGGCCCAAAGCCTTGTTGACAAGCTTGCAACCCAGAAACAAACATACCTGTGCAATAATCAGTCGTTGGTTATACTGCAGGCGCAGACTGTTGACCTCCAGGAACAAACGGCGCTAGGACATATGGCCAGGCCCTTGATTGCATGCTGTGCCTCTTGGGAGGCCTCTTGGAGGCCTCCTGGGGCGTCGTGGAGCTAGTGAGGAAATGACAAGGTCCTTGACTCCATACGGTGCCTCTTGGGAGCCATCTTGGGAGGTCTCCTGGGGCGTCTTGGAGCTGGTTTGAGGAAACATGGCCAGGCCCCCGATTCCATGCTTTGCCTCTTGGGAGCCCTCCTGGGAGGCCTCTGGGAGGCCCCTGGAGCCGCCTCCCGGCGGCCGAGAGGAGACGGGCTCCCCGGCGGGCGGCCTCGGCAAGCCGAGGGGCCCCGAGAGGAGAGCTCCTCTCTCGGGGCCCCGGAAGCCGAGACCCACCGGGTACTCTGAGCAGGGACCGACCGTCCCGGCATTCCTGTAGAACCAAAGCGTGTTCTAAGAGCACAAACCAATGCTCTTAGAACATAAGCCCGATGTATCAAAACAAGACAGTCTCAGCCAAAACAATTCTAAGAACATGTCGTGCATACCACAAGCTTCTTATACCATTGTTTGGTGGGCCTATAGGCGAGCCAGGACGCTTCGCCACCGCTTGAGTACAGTCGGACCTAACATCAGAAGCTCGACCGCAAGAGACCCTCCAACAAGAAGCCCTCCAAGACGAGCCGTTCTAGACTTAGGTCGGGCATGTCCTCCTACAGGCTGATTTTGAACGAACATTTAAACCTAGCCACAACATGATCAACATGTGTGCAAAAAAAACCAGAAATATCGTCCCCAGACTGTTTGTTTTGACTATGTTTGAACATTCCTCCTGTAGAAGGACACGCCCGACCGAATTCTAGGCCCTCCCCCCCCCAGACCAGTCACGAGGGGGCGGCCTTTCGCCCTGGCCCCGCGGAGAACCCGCCAAGACAGCTCCGAGCAGACCCCCCCCAAAAAAATCAGACCCCCGCCGCCAAACTGCGTCCCAGCAGGGAGGGGGCCGCAACCTTCCCAGCAGTTCTGGGCCCTCCCCCCCAGACCAGCCACGCAAGGGCGGCCTTGCGCCCAGGCCCTGGGGAGAGCCCTCCAAGGCAGCTCCGAGCAGACCCCCCCAAAAATCATACCCCCACCATTTATTGTGACATCCGGAGTGCAGCCAACCCGTGTCACAAGGATCGAGGGCCTCGGAATGCTTTTTTGAAGATTTTCGAGCGGGGCGCGGCCAGCGAAACTGGCTAAGGCTTACTATGCGGGTTGACTGTAACCACTCGGTCGGAATAAGCATAATAGGAACGGGTAACCTCCCCAAGGATACCTTGCATCCTTGCCTCTTCGGTTCAGCCCGAACCACTTTCGATGGCCCACCCCTCTCGAAAATCTTCGGCAGGCGCGTGTGGGCTTGCATCCTTCTCGAGCATCCTCGTATCAGATTTGACTGTAGAAACATGATCTAGTAGGAAGGCGTTAAAACTAGATTGGGTTTCCGCCGACCCCCCTTAAGAGGCAAGGAAACGGGAAGGCCACTCGATGATTGAAGTAGGAAGGCGCATAAAGTAGATTGAAGAGGGGCATCAAAGAATACATACTTTCAACGGCCGAAAGGTACTTGGGGAGCTTGCCACACCCGACTCGGCCAATATCAGGGCCACAAACGGCTCCCAAGCCCGGCTCACCCCAAAAAACTAGCATGGCAAGATCCTATAACCAGATCCAGCGCTCTGGCTGAGCCCCGTTTGCGCTGAACCCCCTGATCTGCCAGCTGAACAGTAACTCCGAGGCCAAGCTGGCCCTGGCAGCGTGGGCCCCACAGGGAATCCTCAAAGAAGCGGCGACGATCTGGGCAGAGGGCATTGGCACCGGCATGCTCAATCCTTCTCAGATGAGCGACGAAAAGAGAAGTTACTTTCGCACGATGGCATAGCGACCTTACGCGGTGACTTACGCGGGCCACCAGCGCGGCACGCTACATCGGAAGCGAGGGCGCTTACACGCGACCTTACGCGGGCAGCTTGCGTGTGAATGTCCGCGCAGTCAAGCTTGCTTTGGCTCAAAGGGGTGCGATTTCCTTTGTTTTTTCGTCGAATCCTTGCGTTTGTCCGATGGTCGATTCCGGGCCCATGATTGGGCACGGGGGCCATCAGGCATGGACCCGCGGCGAAGAAGCACCCCCCCGTGAGGGGGTCGGGACCCCTGGGGACCGCGCCTTGACAACACCGCATCGTCGCATGTCTGGGCTGGTGGGGACTGGCTGAGGGAGGGGGGGAGTTCGTCGACCTGGCATCGGCGATGCGGCGATGCGGCGATGGGGTCCCCGATAGCGAAACCACTTGCTCCTGGGCGAGGTGGGCTGTCGCGCCCCCATCGGCGATCAGTGGGCGTTCCCCCATGCGCCGATCCTGGGAAAACCAAACAGCACCGATGCGGCTACTCCCTGGACCTTTCTCGGGGTGCGTTCTGACCAGAATTTCGCAGCGAATCCAGCGGTGGCGACGAGGGCCTCCTAGGAGGTCCCACATCCCACAGGGCGAATACGACGGACGGGTAGCGGTATCGGTACCAATTTCTCTTCTGATCGGCTGCACGCAAGAGTGACCCCGGGTAAGAGCGACCTGTGGTGCGCGGCTTTTTGGGGGGCCGCGGGGGGACCAACACACAACCGCGCAAGGTTTCTACCGCTTGCCTCGCGCTCAGCCATCGGGGGGCCCCAGGTGGGCCCGCACCAAAGGTGACTCCATCGAAGGGTCACTCTTACAGTTCGGGCCCGACCACAAGAGAAACCTTCCACGAGAAACCCGACCCTGAGACTCCAGGACGTCCATTCACTCTTGGTGTGGGAACGTCACGATTTCCATTGCAAGAACATCGAAACCCAGGGCACCCTGGAGGCAAGCAGGGTGTTTCTTGGCATGGGCCTCCACTGTAAGATCACTCGGCGGTGGACAAACCTCCCTTCAGTATAGTAAACCTCCCCTCAGTGAAAACCGCCTGGGACCGAAACCGACGGACCTGGACCCGCAAAAAGGACGGCCGCGACGCCCTCCCGCAGACCGAAAACGGCCAATCACTGAATCGACGTGCCAGGGCAGGAGCTCCATCCACCTCCGAATCATCCCTGCCACGCTGCCCCTTCCCCAGGCCTACCCGCAGGCCGTCCTCCTCGCCGCGTCGGTACCCTCCCCTCCCCGCGCCGTTCGCGGTCTCCGACAGGGCGCGCACCGCCTCGAGGAGGGGGTGGGGTGCGCGCGGGGCGGCACCGGTGCTGCACGAGTGTCGTCCCTCCCCTGCCTCGGCGGCGCGCGCAAGGAGGCAATACAGGGGGAGGGGGGAAGGCTTCTTAGGAGGAAGCTTCGAAGGCGTCGGCCTCACATCAACCGACAGCGCCCGCGCCCTCGAAGAAGCTGGGGTGCTTCTAGAAAGCCTACCCCCTTGCCCCCTACCCCCCTCTGCGCGTGGCTGACTCCCCTTTCTGGGCATCCTGTCTCCGCTCTTGCATGCTTCCTCGTCTATCTGTTCGACGATCCTCAGAGAGTATGTTGATGCCAACGTGAGCTTGTCCACCAAGGCCCTTCCATACGACGCAGGCGGCTCGACTAGGATCGCGCATGTAGTTTCTCCAGGGGACTCGCGGCTGTAACGGGCCGAGAGTCATCGAGAGTCCCACGGAGCGCGCCGTTCGCCAGGCAACCTTGGTGAGTGGCCAGGTGCTTCGGAGCATTCAGCTCCGCAGACCCTCTAATTGCGCAAACTCTGGTATCTCACGCGTGCTCGTGTGAGCTGCGATGCCGACACAGGCTGCTCGCTATGGGCGGAGCCGAACGGGGTAAACACACGCTCGGGCTAGCACGCGTCCTGAAGATCATCGATCTGTTCACCGCGGCCGTGGCACGAAACCGGCAGCTTCTGAACGTGTGCCCGCGATGCTAAAACAAAGAGCGCTCGGACTTCTGCTGCGTTGTAATGAGATTGTCTACACGTCTTGGTGGCCCGCGCCGCCACCCCGCGCGTCGACCGACACCACTGCCGCCACCGCGCGGGTGCGCGTCCATCGAGGCTTCCTCGATGGGGTCCGAATAGATGGGGTCGGAGGATCGCGCCGCACCGGCAATGCATCGCCGAGGCATCGGCGTCGTCAGCGGTGCATCGCCGACGTCGGTGCGGAGAAAATCTGGCTCCACATCGAGCCGCATCGGCGATGCATCGGCGATGCGGCGCGATCCTGTCGGCGAGTGACCCTGGGCAACAAGAGTGACCTTTCGTGCGCGGCTTCAGTGGGCCACGGGGACGGCAAATCCGAGCGTGCAGGCCGATGTTACGGGGCTCCAGGTGGGCCCGCACCGAAGGTCGCTCCGGCGAAAGCCACTTTCGCAAGGAGCCGAATGTGGGAGGTCTGGAGTCCCAGCGCCGAACGCCCAACCCTCACGCGCTAGGCACACGCCTCGCGACGGACTCGCCATCGCTAGGACACCCATTCCCTGTGCATTTTTTGATTCCGTGCGTGCTCCTTTTTGCTCGCTGATCCAGGATGCTCCTCAGTGCCATGGAGCCTCCCTCGGCCCAGCGGCGGCGGCAGCGCGTCGTCCGCCGTCGTCCGTCGTCGACCGTCGTCGTCGAGCGTCGTCGCGGCGGCGGCAGCGCATCGTCCGCCGTCGTCCGCCTTCGAGCGTCGTCGTCGTCGTCGTCGTCGAGCGTCGTCGTCGAGCGTCGTCGTTCTCGCCGAGCACAGACGGGCGGCTGGGGCCGCGGGGCCGCGGCCCTGACGCCCGCGCGGGCCTTGCGGCTCGGGCCCGCAGCGCCGGCGCGCCCGCGCCGCGCGTCGCCCGCGTCGCCCGCGCAGCGGCACGCGCGCGCCGCGGGCCCGAAGACAACGACGACGACGCTCGACGACGACGACGCTCGACGACGACGACGACGCTCGACGACGACGACGACGGCGACGGCGACGCTCGACGACGACGAAGACGATGGGGAGCAGCGCGGCCGGGCCTCGGGAACTGGGCCCTGTGGGAAAATGTGTGCTGGGAGATGTTCGACTCTTCGCGTCTGGGGTGGGGCGTTTCCTGCTCGCCAGCTCGATTCTCTATCGCTTTGCAAGGGGGACGAGTCTTAGGGTGAAGCTGCTCCACGCGGTTGTGGACGCCGACCGCAGGCTTTGGTACAGCCACTGCAGCTCTCACCCAGCAGCAACGCAACATAATAACATCGGTTCCAACAAACTTCCAGCAGAGTCACGGGAGGACGCCGGCATACAATGCAAAGAAGAAAAACGTAAGACGTGCGTTGTCAATTCTGGATGTTCCAGATTGGGTTGCGTGCATCGACCGTGCACGGTGGCGATTGTTGACCAGAATCGCGGCGCATCCTTGCAGCTGGCCGCACAGGGTGTTGGCGTTGACCCCACAAAACGCTGTTCGACGATGCGGTTGTCCAAATATCCGGTGGACCGAAGGCGTTTCTACTTTCCTGCGCAGCAACGAAGAGCGGACTTTGGCGCAAACATTCCGGAAGTTTTCACGAATTAAGTGCTCTATGTTGGAAATCAAATATGCCGATTACATGAACAACTGATTTCCGTCGGTCGCCCTCCCTTTCACCCCCCCTCCTTCCCTCCCCTCCTCTGCCCTCTCCTCAAACACGCCTGTTGATACTGCGTCCAACGTTTCATCGTCGCCGCCAGCGTTGCCCGTCATGGCAGGCCTGTTTTTACAGTGGGGCGTGAATCTTTCGGGCGTCCGATCAGACCTTTGCTTGCGCGTCGGGTCCGGCTGGCGGATCGAGCGGGGGCTCAAGGAAGCACAATCAGAGGCTCGAGCTCCGCGCTGGAGATTGCGCATCTCTCCCACCGCCCACGGCCGCGCCCGCGCATCTTTCCTGCCCGTGCACCCCTGGGCGGACGGACTGCGTGGGAGCTCGCGCCGTCGTATCCGCGCCTTCCTTGAATTTTGCTCATCTGCTTTCTCTGATGTCTGGCTTTTGGAAGCCTCGGCGTCTCCGTCCGCAGCGCCGCGACAACGCGCTCTAAGGATGGAGCCCGAAGGGCTCGGGACGAGCCGGGATGGCGGGCGGAGTCAGATCGAAGCAGTTGACATGGGGTACACCAGAAACTGCTGCGTTTTTCGAGAAAGCGGCCACAGGCAACTGAAGAGCTTGATGTGTGTGCGGGGGGGGGGAATTAGGGTTCATGTGACGTGCGCAGTTGGAGTGCAGCAGAGACCGCATGCTAAGCTCGGCTCGAAAGGTAGAGGGGCATGGCGTTAAACATGAAGTTGCTGGCGGGCGATGGTTTTGACATGAAGCGGCTGAGTTGGGACATGGGATGCGGACATGGATGCTCCAGTGGAATGGGTCGGTTCGATACAAGGGTGAATCACAACGTGCGTGGCCTCGGGCCAACAAGGGACCCTGCACGCAACCAAAGACCCTGACTTGGCGGCGAGCGAGGGGGGAAATGAGAAGGAGGAAAGCCTTCTCAACAATGGTGGGGTTCCTCAGAAAGCCTTGCGCCTTCTGAGCAATTTTCTGCTTTGGACGCCCGGAATGGGTACGGAAAGAAAGGGTACAGTGGCCAACAACACATGTTGTCCCAAACTAACGACGGCCGCTGTTGGGCAGGCAGCCGTCTGTCTCGAATGGACACAGGCCGCGGCGGCGTGGACAGCGATCCGCTGTTGGGCGTTGTACCCATTCTTTCCGTGCCCATTTCGTTCGTGCAGATCTGCGTCTTCGGGGACGGCTCAACAAGCTTCTGAGAAGGCCCGCTCCTTCTCACTTCCCCCCCGGGCTCGCCGCCGATGCAAGGCAACCTCAAGCTGGCGCGACGGGGCCGTCAGGACAATGGCGGGACGCGAATCTGAAATTAGGCGCGATCAAAAAAAGGAGGCAGGAGGAGAGGAGGAGGAGGAGGAGGAGGAGGAGGAGGAGGAGGAAGAGGAGTAGGAGGAGAAGGATAACGAGGGTCCTGGGAAAAGGGGGAGCCGCTGCAAACATCTCACAAAAGAACTAGGCCACCGGAGCTCCCGCAAGGGGGCCTTCAGAGAGCCGGGCGGCAAGCCCGCCTTCTCCAGCAGACTCGAGCCTTGAGAGCTTTCTCTCCCAGTCCGGGACTGCCTTGGGTCAGGACCGCTTATGGCAACACCCAATTGCAAGAGGAACGGGGATGCGAGTGCGGGCAATTTGTAGGCGGCGAACTCGGGGGGGGAGTGAGAAGGGAAAGGCCTTCTCAGAAGGTTCGGAGGGCCGGCCTTCTGAAACAACTGTTTAAAGCCTTCCCCAAAGACAGAAACCACTTCTCATATGGCGCGAGGGCTTCTTAGACGTCCCGCCGCCTTCTGAGAAGGCCTTCTCCTTCTCACTTCCCCCCTCGCTCGCCGCCAATTTGTATCCGTATCCACTGCGTCTTGGACTTTCTGGGAAGGGGCGCCCAAGGGCCGAGGCGCAGTGGATATGGATCAACCTCTGGCCTCTAGGGACCAGACTTTTATCCATATCCACTGCGCCTCTGGTTTCTGGGGAAGGGGACCCGAAACTCCAAGATACAGTGGAAACGGATACAAATCTTGCCCGCAACACGAACTGTCGCGCCAAGGCACCGCCTGCTCAGCAAACAACGACTGGAGGCAGGTGACAGGCAAATCCCGAGCAGCACAAGAACCGAGCTCAAGGTGCGCTCCAGCCTCGAACACGTTGATTGTGCCGATGACGTTCACGGCGGCGCCTCCGCCCATTTCCCACCCCTTCGGCGGTTCAAAAATGGGTCCTCAAGGGTGGGCCCTAGAGATAGGAAAAGAACTCACGGAAAAAAAGACGACTAAAAACTCGGCAATACTTCGCCAGTAGATTGGCGATCTGGTCTCGACTGCTCATCTGAGCGCTCCTGGGCGGTGCGGGCCATCGGGCCCCTGACGGCGATGAGTGGGCGATTCGCGGGTCGATGCGTCCCCCCTGAGCCTGTCCCCCCACAACGCTGCCCCAGAATTGGTGGCGGCACGAGGGGGCGGCCTTGAAGAAGGCGGTGGGCTTCTCAGAAGGCAGGGGCCTTCTAAGAAGGGCCTGGGAGTTTTTTGTTCGGCGTCGCTTTATGGGGGGCGATTGACGGGGGGAAGAAAGGTGGGCCCTCAAAGCCTTTTTGGGCCCAAGAGGGCCCTTCGGGGGCCCTGAAGGGCTTCATTTCTGCAGCCCTCGCTGCCACCCCTCATTCATGAAGGGAACCAGGGACACACAAAATAGTTGACACACATCCCAGGAACAACGCATCATGTTCCACATGTTCTGAAGTTTCGCGTCTTCCCCTCCACTTCCCGTCTTGTTCGATATCTTCCTGGGAATCGACGATTCGGCTTCGGGGTGAAAGGGGGACCCCTGCACAATGACAGCGGGCGTAAACCATTCAACCTTCTTCCATCCTCCTCCTCCTCCTCCTCCTCGTCCTCTTCCTCCTCCTTCTCCCTCTTCCTCCTCCTCTTCGCATTCCTCCTCCTCCTCCTCCTTTCATCCCAATCAGAATACTCTTACGGAACATAATCAAGCAAAACCATAGGGGACAAACAAACAAGCAATAAAAGCAAGCAGTCCTGAGGAACTTGCTGGGGGGGGGCTCCTTTCATCCCAATCGGAATCCTCCTACGGAGCAGAATCAAGCAACACCGTAAGAAAAACAATCACAAGAAAACAAACAATACAAGCAATCCAGAGGAACTTGCTGGGGGGGAGTGGGAGGAGGGGGGAACGGGGGAGAAATCCCCCAGGATTTTTTTTTTTGTTCCTAGGGTTTTGCTGGATTCCGCGCCCGACAGGGGAATCTGATTGAGAGGAGGAGGAGGAGGAGGAGGAGGAGGAGGAGGAGGAGGAGGAGGAAGAGAAGGAGGAGGAGGAGAAGGACGACGACGACGGCGTCGGCGGCGACGACCACGACGACGACGACGACGACGACGGCAGCGGCGGCGGCGACGGCGGCGGCGGCGACGACGACGTCGCAACACGCTCGAACAGGCACGCAGCACTTCGACCGTGCTTCTGGTTTGTCTTTGCAGACTACATCCTCCCTTCCCCCTTTCGTTTTTTCTTCCGCGCGGAAGAATTCCAACATGTGTTGAGGTTGTAAACAGGAAGCTATACTATTTTTGGTGTTTGCTCCTGTATTCCCCACCCCGTGCCTTGATGCGGCAAAAGGGGGCATCCGCAAATGGATGCCCCCTCGGCCATAGACCCCGTTTCCCTTACTCACTTCCTCCTCCTTCTTCCGCGCGGAAGACTTCCGACAATTGTGGTGTTAATAAGCAGGAAACCGTGCATGTGTTTTATGCGTGGCTCCTGCTTTTTGATTCCTCCATGCCTTGAATGGGGGCATCCACAAATGCGATGCCCCTTCGGCCATCTGTGGAACAGTTCAGCCCAACCCAGCCCAGCAGTCTTGCACGCCGGCGCGCGTGGAGGGGTACCCAGGACAGGGTCCGAACATGCGAAAACAGGGGAGCCCAAAAAATGGGTTCCCACCCCCGCGCCCGAAAGCACTGCCATTCGCCTGCACGTGATTGACCATATATTGCTGTTGTTGGGTGTGGCAACGCGCAGCTTGCGATTGCGATTTGGTGTGGACTCATTTAAGCGTGTATGCATGTATGCGTTCGTTGATGCATGTATGCGTATACGTATGCATGTGTGCATCCACATCATGGCAAGCCTTAGTATAACTTACCGCAGAGCAACGTCACGGCTAAAGACTGTTCCACATATGGCCGAAGGGGCATCGCGTTTGTGGATGCCCCCATTCAAGGCATGGGGGAATCAAAGAGCAGGAGCCGCACATACAACACATGCACAGTTTCCTGCTTATTAACACCACAATTGTCGGAAGTCTTCCGTGCGGAAGAAGGAGGAGGAAGTGAGTAAGGGAAGGACGGGGTCTATGGCCGAGGGGGCATCCATTTGTGGATGCCCCCTTCTGCCGCATCAAGGCACGGGGTGGGGAATACAGGAGCAAACACAAAAACACACAGCTTCCTGCTTACAACCTCAACACATGTTGGAGGTCTTCCGCGCGGAAAAAAAACGAAAGGGGGGAAGGGAGGATGTAGTCTGCAAAAACAAACCAGAAGCACGGTCGAAGAGCAGCGTGCCTGTTCGAGCGTGTTGCGACGTCGTCGTCGTCGCCGCCGCCGCCGTCGCCACCGCCGCTGCCGTCGTCGTCGTCGTCGTCGTGGTCGTCGCCGCCGACGCCGTCGTCGTCGTCCTCCTCCTCTCCTCCTCCTCCTCCTCCTCCTCCTCCTCCCCCTCCCCCTTCCCCTCCCCTCCCCATCCTCCTCCTCCTCCTCTATCTCCTCCTCCTCCTCCTCTTCTCCTCCTCTTCCTCCTTCCCCTCCTCCTCCCCTCCTCCTCCTCCTCCTCCTCCTCCTCCTCCTCCTCCTCTCAATCAGATTCCCTTATCGGGGGCGGAACCAAGAAAAACCCAAGGACAACAAACAAAACAACAACAACACAATAAACGCAATCTTGGGGGAACTCCCCCGTCCCCCTCCTCCTGCTCCCCCCCAGCAAGTTCCTCTGGATTGCTGTGTATTGTTTTTTTGCTGTCTTTGTGGGTTTCTTAAGGTTTTGCTTGATTCTGTTCCGTAAGAGAATTCAGACTGGGATGAACCCCCCCCCAGCAGGTTCCGCAGCATTGCTGTTATTTTGTTTCCCCAACCCTCCCTTGGCTGGGTACTCGTTTTGAATAAAGCACTCTGGCCGCCCCGTCCTCCCGCCCACTTCCCTCCTGCCTCCTACCTCCTCCTCGCGGCGCCCTCTGGGGGGCTGCGATATGCGCACCTGTCGCCTCCTGCGATCTTGCGCAACTGTCGGTACTTTCGTGGGCTCCTGGGAGGCCCAACAGAGTGGGGGTTACACGCGGATCGCGTCGGGACCTCGCGGCTCCCTGCGGGGGGAGCTGCCGACTGCGCAACTGTCGGCACGTTCGTGGGCTCCTGGGAGGCCCAGCGGAGTGGGGTTACACGCGGATCAATTCGGAACCTCGCGGCTCCCTGCGGGGAGCTGCCAACTGCGCAACTGTCGGCACTTTCGTGGGCTCCTGGGAGGCCCAGCGGAGTAGGGGTTACACGCGGATCGCGTCGGGACCTCGCGGCTCCCTGCGGGGGGAGCTGCCGACTGCGCAACTGTCTGCACTTTCGTGGGCTCCTGGGAGGCCCAGCGTAGTAGGGGTTACACGCGGATCGCGTCGGGACCTCGCGGCTCCCTGCGGGGGGAGCTGCCGACTTCGCAACTGTCGGCACTTTCGTGGGCTCCTGGGAGGCCCAGCGGAGTGGGGTTACACGCGAATCGCGTCGGGACCTCGCGGCTCCCTGCGGGGGGAGCTGCCAAATGCGCAACTGTCGGCACGTTCGGGGGCTCCTGGGAGGCCCAGGGGAGTGGGGGTTACATGCGGGTCGCGTCGGGACCTCGCGGCTCCCTGCGGGGGGAGCTGCCAACTACGCAACTGGCTGCACTTTCGTTGGCTCCTGGGAGGAGTGGGGTTACACGCGGATCGCGTCGGGACTTCGCGGTTCCCTGTGGGGGGAACTGCCAACTGCGCAGCTGTCGGCACTTTCGGGGGCTCCTGGGAGGCCCAGCGGAGTGGGGTTACACGCGGATCGCGTCGGGGCCTCGCGGCTCCCTGCGGGGGGAGCTGCCAACTGCGCAATTGTCGGCACTTTCGTGGGCTCCTGGGAGGCCCAGCGTAGTAGGGGTTACACGCGGATCGCGTCGGGACCTCGCGGCTCCCTGCGGGGGGAGCTGTCAACTGCGCAGCTGTCGGCACTTTCGTGGGCTCCTGGGAGGCCCAGCGGAGTGGGGTTACACGCGGATCGCGTCGGGACCTCGCGGCTCCTTGCGGGGGGAGCTGTCAACTGCGCAATTGTCGGCACTTTCGTGGGCTCCTGGGCCCAGCGGAGTGGGGTTACACGCGGATCGCGTCGGGACCTCGCGGCTCCCTGCGGGGGGAGCTGCCAACTGCGCAACTGTCGGCATTTGCGTGAGCTCCTGGGACGCCGAACGATCGCTCCAGGACGTTCAAGGTGGGCCCCAGACGGCCCAAGAGGCTTCCAAGACGCTCCAAGAGGCCCCCAGAAGGCTTCATGGGAGGGCCCCGAGAGGCCAACATCATGAATTTTACGATGGTGTTTGAAGGATTGTGGCATTCTCGTCTTGTCGGCTTTCCGGAGCTACAGGACGGCTCAGGACGGCTACAGGATGACCCTCAAGCGCGGCGATTGCCAAGAATGCAATGGTCGTCGCTTTCGTGGGCCTCTTGGACGTCCAGCTGATGTTCAGCTATTTTGAAAGCGCCAGTTGATAATGCCACCTGTTGCCAAAGGGTTGGGTACGCCCCCTTTTGTATATTTGTTATGGTTTTTGTTTTGTTGTTTCCTATGGTTTTGCTGGATTGTGTTCCGTAAGAACAGTCTGATTTAGATGAGAGGAGGAGGAGGAGGAGGAGGAGGAGGAGGAGGAGGAGGAGGAGGAGGAGGAGGAGGAGGAGGAGGATTACGGATTACGGGATTCAACCACCGTCACTGTGGCGCTAATCGAAGGACGAGGAAAAGGAGCGGGCGGGGCCCCGCCTGGAAACCGTCAGTGTCGTGCACAACGAGGCCGCCGCAGCGCGGAGCACCGCTCCCGCACAGGCGGCCCCGCCATCCCCCGACGACGACGCCCCTCCTCGCTCCGCAGAATCCCCCTCCTTGG